AAAAAATATCTTTTAGAGGTGTATACTGACATTTGTTGCAAAGAATCTTGGAGAACTGTAGATTATGCAAACACTACTATTGTGCCACTGTCACACAGGCTTATGTTTTGGAGATGGCATCCTGCCAGCATGTATCATGACCTGATTATGTTGGGGAAACATTGCTTTAGCATGTTCTCTGAGGAGGAGAAGCATGAGCGCCTTATAGTCTGTGGAGAGCAGTAGTTTTAATTTATAATGGTGTAATTTGAAAATAATTGAAATCTAGTACTCAATGCATCTTCTTTGAAAAGTTAAGGTTGCTTACACAAATGGGAACTTTTGATTCTTGTGGAATCAGAGTCTCTCCAGATGCAAAGATAATCCTATCATTCTTTCTCCCTGCCTGCCTTTATCTGAAGTCACCAACTCCTTACCTTGCTGCAGTGAAATATATTCATATCAAAACAAACTTTATGTGAATAATTTCCTATCTCTATGTTTGTGATAAGATATTAATGATGATAATGCTAGGTGGAACAATGTAAGTCATGCAGGTAGAGTTTCTAGGATGAATAATTCTAGAGAATTATTATCACTAAAATGTGAAATGTGAACATAATTAAGGACCTTGCTGAGTTACAGATACTGTAGCCACCAAACAGGGTAATGTGAATGTAAAAATGAGCTTAGCTTTAACTACTATGATGCTGAAAGGCATACATAATAAATATAATAAATTTGTGCCAAAGCAAAAAATAATTGAGAGGTTGTGTGTAACCATGTCTGGGCACTATGAACTGCTTCTTTGTGGTTTCTGTCCTAAACCCCATAGTGACAAATAAGAGTCAAAAGATTTTTCTTTGTATTTAGAACTGAAAATGTACACTCATGCGTGACCAGAATTGTGTGCTGCCTATGTAAATAAGGACCACTGAGAGTAACAGTTAAATGTGGACATACTAAATTTACTCTTTGAATAACTGAAGGAGAAATAGTTTGCTATTGGTAAACATACATGTATTTTTCATTATGTTTGTTGTGCTAAAGTGAAATATTTATAAGATTATTTTTTTGTAGTATCAACACAGGAAAAAATTATACTATCATCCTATTTAATATTTCATTCAGATTCCTGCATAGATTAAAATACTACTGAAGTTCAGAGAGCCAGCATGCCACTGTTTCATTATACATTCTGCAAACAAGTAAGAATGTAGGCTTACCGTCAGGAACCGTATTCATGGGCAAAACAAGTCTCAGCTATTAGCACATGCACAGAATGAAAAAACTCCAAAATTAAATAAATAACCATTTAAATATATATAAATGCAAATTAAAAATAAAAAAAAATAGGGAAATTTAAATTCCCTCCTAAAATGCCCCATATTTTGTTGTAGTATTTAATTTGAGTCAACAGCATTGAAAGTAGCTGAGTGTATGGTAATGGGTTTTTACACTGTGCAAGCTCAAACAGTAAAACACTTGAATTACTCTTAGCAAACAGGAAATGTCTGCTTCTTGAGTGCTGTGGCACACAGCATTACTAGAGCATCACATAGCAAGACATTTTAGATGGACTACTAAAATGGTCTTAACCATTTTCCTGTACTAACTTTGTAATGGATAGTAAACCTGTATTGATAACCAAAGATAAGAAACAGCTGTTCTCAGCTTCTGGCCTTCTGCCAGAAATGAAATTATTATTCTCTATGTATGGCTGTAAAAAGTACTGCATATTTTGTCAACTCAAATTTATGCAAGGTTAGAATCATCCAGGAGACCAAAAGTGTATTACAGACAGCTTCACAGCAATCTCTTGAAGGAACACTAAATCCAATTATGCAGAACATCACAGAATTGTTTGTTATTCCTATAGCACTTAGCTTTCATGAAAGCAGAAGTATTTGTTCCCCTTCTAGTGGATCAAGAACACTATCATATGTGAGATTCTGTGATAATAAGTTATGACTGGAGAGCTCTTACCTAGATTAATTCAGAAGCAACAGAAGAAATATATCTTCTGAAAAATACACAGCAATCTATTCTGTCCTTCAGGTATTGAACTCAAAACAAATCTTAAATGGGGGAAACTGTTGCTTGGTAGTATTCCCATTGGGAATATTAAACATTGGGAGAGAAATATGTAAGAAGGTCAATTCTTAGTTAATACTAAAGAGTATTTTATTTTCAAGTGTGATAACTGACTGTAATCTCATTCAAATTATTCCTCAGACAATACCAATCCTCATGAGTAAGAAACCTTACAATTGTCACTGAGTAAGCATTTGAAAACTATTCGATGAACCACATATTAGCAAACAGGTTAGCATTACTAAATAAAAACAGGCAAAGAAATCACCTAGTAATTGATGACATAAAATGAAATTGTAATCTGTCTCTAATTCCTTGGTTTTTGTTTCCTAGTGCTATCTAGATGATGGAGAATATTAGATCAGTCACCAAAATTGCATTTACAGCAGTTTATGATTTCACAAGTAGAAAGAATAATTAAGCATCATGTTTATGAATTTTGTATGAACCTGGAAATAGGGTTAAATGTAGGACATGTTCCCTTACTTTAAGGTATTTAACATCAAGACATTACATAATATTCTATTTTTTATACTTTTTGCATTCCTATAAATGACATAACAGATTGTACCTTTACATCATTTGAGGCTATAGCAGTTCCCATAAACTGAGCAGCTGCAGCTCAGTGGACAGCAGCCTTGGCCTTCACAGCTCCTCAGTGTGCAGTCTGTGAACACTGAACAAAATGGCAGTGCCTGGTCCAAGAAGGACTGTTTGATCATGTATAAATTAGGTGTATATTTGGGTATTTGTATTTTAAATGCGTACATCTATGCTCTTGCATTTGTGGGCCATGCTACAGACTTCAGTGGCAGGGCAGTGTGCTAGTTTTACAGGAGATCTAACACCATAATTAAAATTCTGCCTCTTGCACACTTTGAGAGTTACTGGTTCTCATGGTTCATACCTTTGAAATTTAATGTTACTTTTCTTTTTTTAAGTATGCAAATCATGCAAATCTTTTAAATGATGTAAGTAGTGTAAATGATGTAAATAATAGCTTAGCTACAGGTGGCTGGTTAGAAGGCTGAAGACAGCAGGACCTGCAGAGATGCTGAGGTAGAATTTTCAGAACTCCTTAGCAACAAATAATCTGAAACAGTATTATTGCATTTATGGAAGGAGAGTTTTCATGAGGGTGTGTAGTGATAGCACAAAGGAGAATGGCCTTAGGCTGAAGGAGGGTAGGTATTAGGGAGAAATTCTTTACTGTAAGAATGGCAAGGTGCTGCAGTGTTGTTCAGAGAGGTTGTGGACTCCCCATCCCTGGAGGTGCTCAAGATCAGGCTGGATGGGGCTGTAAGTAACCTGGTCTAGTGAAAGGTTCCCTGCCCATGGTGGAGAAGTCAGAACTAGATGATCTTTAAGGTCCCTTCCAGCCCAAACCATTCTATGATTCTATTTCTTCCAAACATATTCCTTGCTTTCCCTAGCTTCTTAGCACTGTCCAAAATGTATGTGAAACCCATTCACCCACTTCCCAGCCTGTACCCTGTTCCCAGCAGCTCTCCCTTCTCCTCTTCTGACCATCTAGAATGGCACTACTTTCAACCCTGCTGCTTTCTGATTTGTCTCCCCTCTGTAGAATCCTCAGCCTCCCTCCAGCCCTTCTTCACAAATCATGTGCATGCAGCTCTAAAAAACATAGCGAGATTTCCCTATGCAGCCATTTTTCTAACCATGTTTCATCTCTTTCCTCCAACCCTTGTTGCCCACACTCGAGTATGTGGGCAAGGGAGGGGCACTGTAGTTCATTCTTCAGACTGACTTCTGTGAATCTGGTACAAAATATATGAAATGTGTCTATTGGGAATTCTTATTTGTATGGATTGTGATTTGCTGACTGTTAAAATACCTGCAGTTTGGGAGTGGCGTTTTTAAAGCATCTATTTTGAATGAGAGAGGGAAAGAAAATAGACCCAAATGGTCAAGCAGCTGATTACTGGTTGTCTTGGTAGCAATTACTTTCCTTTGTGAACAGCAGAGGTCACTAAAAAGAAGGGTTACACTGGGTGAAACAAACAGGCTTTTTTTTTCCCTCTGCTACATTACTTTTCATATGTTTTCTGTTTTAATCATAAATTAGAAAAAATTCTTGTTTCTACTGCTTTTGACAGACAACAAACTCCTAATAAAAAACCATCTCTTGATTATGGCCTAACCTATAAATTATCTCTGCCTCTAATAAAAAATACTTTACAATTGTTTTGCCACAAGGAGTTTTATAAAAACCTTTGTTACAAAATATTTTCATTATGATGTAAGTTGATGTTGACATTTAACACTGTGATAGACAAGAGTGAGTAATGTAATTTCCTCTCTGTTGTGATCACACTGCCATTTTTTTCCATTATTTGCTGTTATTGGAAGGCAATAAGCCCAATTAGTAATGTGGAGAAATAAAACTATTTACCATTTAGAACAAGAGAATAAACAAAATACTTAGATGGTCTCTCAGTGTAACTTTGTTCAACGTAAAATGTAAATAAATGCATAATTCTGTTCTTAGAAAGATGGGAAGTGCTGACCACACAAGGAAAGAAATAGAAGTAATCCAGTCAAACCCATTAGCAGGAGGAACACTATAAAAGAACATGCTAGAAAGAGAGGTTGCTTCCTCTGCTTCATATCTGTCCTGAAAGCTTAACTGTCGAGGAGGGGGGTTTATATTTATCTTTGCAGCTGAATGAGTTCCATTTCTCTCAGATTAGGACAGAAATTTCTGAACAGTAGGTTAATCCTTCCTGCCTTCACGGGCAACTGAGCAAACAGACCTGTATCAACGTGGCCGAGTGCAAAATTGTAATTCTAGAGATTAACGTTGTCTTTCCTGTTTGACCTCCATGTTTCTCTCCTAGGTATGTTTGTATGTATGACTGTATGTGTGCAGTTATTTATTTATTTGTTTGTTTGTTTGTTGTTAACAGCTTCTGTCCAAGGCCCCTGGGAGAGGGCAATCTCACCAAACAAAGTGCCGTATTATATCAAGTGAGTATAAATAGTAATTCATTCCAGCTATTTACGTTTCTTATTTAAGAGGACATTTAGTAATTTTCTTAGATTATTGTGAACTGCTCCTATAGTGCCTAAATGGGAAGGACAAAAAGGAGCAAAGCATGCTATACATTTCACAGAAGTGTCCTAGTTATTTAAAAACACTGTAGGATGCATTGATTTGTAAGTTGTTTGGTTTTATGCTACTGTAAATCACCTGCAAATGAAGTAAAACTTTGGGGTACCTGGATTATAGTTTAATTTGTGCCATTACCCACTGAACAGTATGTATGGCAGGTTTTGCAAAATGTAATACACTAGGAGTTTTTTTAACCTAGCACTGCCCATACTCAATACAAAAAAAAATTGCTTTAAGGACAGTACTTGGTAAAGTCCATAGCTGGGGAATGACATGCAGAATTAGTCCCTACAGACTAATCTTTTAGGGTTTAGTTCCCAAATAAAATAAGTCTGCTCTAAGATATGTGCCTGCACAACAAATGAATAGAAAATTTTTTAAAAATCAACAACATGGAAACACCTGCTTCACCATGTAAAACCAACAACAAAGGTGTTTTAATACATTTTTTTTCTTTTCTTTTGATTTCTTCACCTGTAATATGCTTTGAACTACTTATTTTCTGAAGGAAACAGGTAATGCAATACCTGTTATAAAGATGGTAGTGCAAGTAAGAGAAACATGGGTATTGTTTAATACACACTTTTACCTGACTCTTCCTTATATTCTCTAGACATTTTTCAAACTCAGCTACTGTCACTGAAGCCATCTGCTTTGTCGCAGTGGTACTTCAGTTGCAACTTTTACAACAGGGTGAACTTCTGCAGCAGCTTTAGAACAAGCATTTTAGTTATGCATGAAGGAAACTAAGTCTGTAGTGTAGTTCAGAGGTACAGTTATACCTGCCTGGTTTACCCTTGCATTAAATTTGTGATTTTTCTGATGTTTGCATTTGGCTGTGAATAATGAAACAGTCACAAGGAAGCTGGAAAGCTCAATCAAGAAGGAGAGGCAATCTACCAGAGACATACTAGAACGCAAGTTGGTGGTCTGGGATGTAAGAGTCAGTTTATGGTACTAATATGAAAGAAAAGATCCTCCTTTTCTCTTTCATGTGTCATGACTTGCCATTATGGGGGGAAGTGCCTTGGCAATTCTTAATGTTGGCACAAGATGCATTTCATGCCTTGCTTCCCACCTCTCTGGGTGTTACATCCAGCAGCCAAGGGTAACTGTTGACTCTGTGCAAAAATGATCAGTGCTAGTCTTGCTTACTCTTTAATACTTTTTAGTCTTCTGTACTAGGCCATTTACAAATTCCAAAGAATATACTTATTTTATTTTGTTCACTTTAGAAAATATTTTAATAGCCATAACAGTTGTAGCATGAAGTCATGCATCCTGATTTAGGATCCTGCTGACTACGCTGGTTTGTCGCGAGTGGGTGATTTAGATCGTTTAAAGAATCACTGCCAGAGGTACTAAGAAAAGTGGGTTTATAAAAGTGTAGCTTAATAAAGTTCAATGGCAAAGTTAAGTCTGTTACTACAGGGATGAAACATACAAAGTAATATCGAGTTTGAATCTATTTCAAATGATTTACATATAGACCGAAGATGCCAAAGGGTGAGGTAGACCCTCCTGTTGGGTCATGAATTTGGGAAAAGGCCTTCTTGTTTCCTAAACTTCCGATGGAGCTTAACTGTGACTCGGTCCAGTCTTAGTCTCAGACTTGGACAATGACATATGTTTAAAGAAACTAACTAGATGGATTTCGTTAACATTGCTTTAGCATGCTATCAGCCACTTATTGAGGATCTGTTGTAAATAAGGGGTCTCTTCATCTTGGTAAGGAAGGATTTCTTGGTCTTAGGTAAGGAATTTCAATGCTTGAGAGGGGTCCCTGCTCAAGGGGAGAGTCACTGGTGTTCAGTCCAGTTGTAATTTAGACGGAATTTGAGCTGGACTCATCCAAAGATCGGTTGTTTGTAGAAAGGTATCTGCCTCAAGGAACAACCTTGAGAGTTGTCCCAGGGCAAGGGGAGATCACCACCATACAGCCACACTGCCTCACAGGGAGAGCTCAGAGGCGGCTTCCTTAGGTTTTCAAAGTTATGGGATAAAGTGGTTGACTCATAGTCAAATTTAATACAGTGGGGAGGGTATACATGAGGCTCCTTGTACCCATAACTTTCTTTGTTCTTTGATAAATGAGTCTTGGAAAAGCCACCTGCTATTCACGCTTTAATCACACAATCCATGTTTCAAGCTCATGTGCATCGATGTTCACTGGGTCACTCTGCCCTTTTGTTGGTTTCCTAGAGGAGTTCTTGGCCTGGCTGCAGCTCAGGCCCTTATTTCCTTTGGAGCCTGTACCAAACTATTGCTAGTTTGGTTAAGGGGTCAGGTGCATCTGTCATATGTTACTGGTTTAATGTATGTTTAAATTTAACCACATTTTTTATAGAAAAACTTGCTGTTCTTGAGATGCTTAACAAAGCAGTCAAGCTTTAATGAGTCTTAGTGAGCTGTTACACCAATTGCCTTCTCCAGCTGTCCTCAGTCATTTTGCTTTACATTCATTCTCATCACTCATATTTCATATTTACAAACAACTAAATTGATTTCTGTACCATTTTGGCTTTTAAAAGCAGCATATTCTTTTTCTAATCTTTGACCTATTACTTTTCTACCAGCTGTTAATTCTCTAAAAGAACTTCATGAAGACTAAGAAGCTGCAGCTAGCATTCTCTTCATGTTTACATAATTTTCTTTTTGTCATCAATGTAGAATATTGGTCTTAGCCCCCTTCATTAACCAGATTTGCTACACATTTTACTGGTTTTCATTTTATCTACTTTTCCCTTGATGCTTAACTGTTTTCTCTCATCACTTTCACATTTGCAATGACATTGCATCCAATAATCCATAAATCAGGCAGTGCTTAGTGCTAAATCTTCAGCAGCTATGTTTATTTATGGCTAGGTACCTTCAAGACTTGTGATTTTTCTGGTTAAAATTTCATTTGTACACGGTTGATTAATCTGTGGCCACTAGTTGCCTCTAAAGCTATCACTTCAATAATTCCCTCTTGAGCTTATTCACACTAGTTGGTTGTGGGTTTTTTTTCAAATTGGATTGGTGTAGGCATCATTGCCATGGAAAATATAATTATCGACAGTGTACAGCCTGTTTCAGTTGTTCCCAGTCCCTGCCATTTGGTAGTTTCTTGGCCTAGTGCCAGCCTCATGAAAACTGCCTTTTAATGGCCTTTGCAGCATTCTGATGGATTTCCTTCCACCCTTTCATGTGCTTCCCTTCTTATGGTGGTAACAAGCTAGGCTAGAATTTCAGCCCCACCTCTCTCTTCCCCAGCAAACTGAGGAAATCTAATTTTTGTGTTCCAGGACAGCAGAAGTATCTTGGCTTGCCAAGCAGCAAGTGGACATTGCTACCTGGGCACTGAGCACTTGCCCAGACCACAAGGTGTTGCTGAGTTAAAAAACCCTCTGTTTTGCCTCTGAGTTAAAACATGGAAAATTGCTCAAAAAAAGAGTTTCATCCAACCATTTTCTTTTTGATCTTTTCTTCCTTGATATATTCCCGGTGTCTAGTACAGAATTTATAGGTTTTATTAGATTACAAAAGGAGAAGACTATAAAAGAAAATAGTTCTCAGTTTAATCAGTCCTATTCTTTGAAGACCTGTATCCTACTCTTACTGCAGTGCAACCCAGAAAATGGGAATGCAGAAGCAGGCACAGACATGTCTGTACTCTCTAATAATGTTTTAGGTATTCATTAAAATTTCTAAATTTAAGGTTTTGGAAGAAAAAACAGCTAATTACTCTACCTTAGAAATCTGAAAAACAAATTGAACAAATGCACACCTCAAAGATTACTGAATATACATCAAAAGATTTTTTAAAAAGTCTCAAATTATAAAAAAGACAGATAATAAAGGTAGGGAGGGTGCAGATTTTAGCATTGTAATTCAAGTTAGATCACATTTCAGCAGAACTCCCCCCTGTGATGAAAGGGATCTCACGTGTGCATGCATGCACACGCATATTCTTATCTTCCAATCAAACAGATAGAGAAGCTGCTTCAAAGCAGTGACAGATAACCAAATGAAATTTCTGCTTTCCATTTTGCAATACCAGCAGAAGCATTTGGTCCTGCTGTACAACCCATCCCTCTGCAGTGTCTGTGCTCCTATGGCACGAGGGGACGTTTAAGCATCTGTCGTCTGAGCCATGTTTGCATCTCTTTTGCGTGTGGCTAATCCTGTGCTCCTCAAACTTGTCCAATACCCCGTGCTAGGAGGTCTCTGTTTCCTTGGATTAAGGAGGAGGAGTTGGATGGAAGTCTGCAACATACTCTCTAAAAAATAGTCAGCAGTCCTGCCACCTCAATTAGTAGGTGTGACTTCTATATTTGTACTAATCTTTGACATTATTCTCTCTCCGTGTATCTGACTTGCCAGTTAATAGTGTCTGTCTTCTTACCCTCTTGCTGTGCCCATTCTTTTGAAGGATTTAAAATGCTTCTGCAAAAATACAGTAGTCTTTCATCTCAGTGCTTCCCACAAAGGGAACGTTCCAAGTTATTTCCCAGCCAAGCTTATTTTCTTATACAGATTATAGCAGTTCACTGAACTTTGTCCTGCTGGGGACAAAGCTGGATTCTCAGGAGCAGAGCTTTGACTCCTTGAGAAGATCCATGTGAGCCTATCTATATAAATTAACTATGCAGTGAGCTAACTCCAAGGACAGTGTATCTCCACTTGCTTGCTCTCTTCCACATTGTGGTTTCCTATGAGAATATTTGACTTGCATTTAATGTATCAGCTTGTGACATACATTTTTGCTAGTTTAAGATCCTGCAGTCTTTCCCTGCTTCACACTGGAGATCTAGCAGGCCAGTTTCTATAAACATTCCTCTTTGTTGTCTTAATTTTTAATCTCTCTTTTAAT